AGTATATAAGGGCAGACTTGATTCAAATGTTTCACAAGACGGCCACTGCAATCATTATGTAAGCAGGTCTAATGTTGGATAGACCACAGTTAACCAACGAGCCCCACGATCACCCTCAAACGTTTTAAATGATAAACTTGTAAGACGTAACCTCTCTCAACACTTTCTCATTGGGCAAGATGGACTACTAGGTTACTCACCATCAACAAAACCCCAACTAGCAGGTGCTTGTCTTAACTGTCCGCCTAGTCAAGTTCAACAAATTAATCCACTTTATCAAAATAATGATTTTCTTTGGCCTTCAGAAATTCCTGGTCCCACTAGCACTACAGTTTGTTCAGGCGATAGCCCATGTGATCAGTCAAACATTATAAACCACAGTCTATGCAAATCCAAAATACACAACATCAATAGGGAGGCTCTCGGTTTTTTACAATCCATACTCCCTTTTTAAATTTATTACTTATCAATGCACGTCCAATTCGGAACAAAATTTCAGCCTTGAGAATATTAGCTTTTCTTGCCAAGCCTTCTTTCATACTTATCGCTGAAACATGGTGCTCTCAAGTAGTATCTGATTCAGAATTAAATATCCAAAACTATAAACTCTATCGCTGTGACAGAGAAACTAAGCGAGGAGGTGGTTGTATTATATGTGCTTTGGATACCTTAACAACTAATAAAGTTGAAGATAGTGTCCTGAACAGTTTACCAGAATCAGTCTGGATATCAGTCAACACCCTGAATCATAGTCTACTCCTTGGATGTATATACAGAGCTCCTGATAGTCCGAATAATGGGAATGATCTTATTATCAATGCATTCATACATGCATCTGCTCTAAACTTTAATGCTAAGGTTATCACTGGGAATTTCAATTATCCTGGGATTAACTGGAGTATCGGTAGCTGTCAGTCATGTATTGGTGAGTTCTCGGCAACCATTAACATGCACTGCTGGTCACAGTGGGTTCGTACCCTAACTAGAGGTAGTAGTATACTCGATCTAATATTTAGTAGAGATATTATCCTACTATCTGTAAAAGTATACGATGAATTTGAAAGCAGTGACCATAAGACAGTAGTATGCGCTCTCCCTATATTTCCCTCTTCTAACCGACCCATTCAAAAAACCTGTCAATATAGAGACGTTAAGCATGCCGACTGGGACCTCCTGCATTCACTGAATAAACTTTCAGACTGGGATAACTTTTTTCATGTACTAGTCTTATAGATGCTATCGACGAACTCTATTTGATCGTTAATTCTTGCTTAGATTCTTGTGTACCTCTTAATGAGACACTAGCACTTAATACTAACTTAAAAGTACAGAACTTAACTCTCCTTCTCAAAAAACGCGTTAAAGCAACTCAAAATGGTGATGTCCCATGCATCCAGCATAATAGCACTTTTATATACAACTCTAAAACTATGGCAGACTTTTTCAGTGGTATTTTTGCGAATGGTGTGGGATTTATAAGTGGCTCTACTTCAAGAGTTACGTGTGCGACCAGCAACTCAATAAAATTTATCTCCTTCACATGCATGAAAATTAATAAGGCTATAAATACCCTTAAGCTTTCGTGAGGTCATGGAGCAGACGGGATTTCATCCTTTTTCTACAAATATGGAGGTCCAGATATTCCACTTCTTCTTCTAAAGCTTTTTACTCTCTCTATGTAAACTTGTTCTTACCCTTACTGTTGAAAAACCGCATACATCATACCACGTTATAAATCTGGACATGAACAATTATCGGCCGATAAATATTACTCCAGTAATCTCTAGGATTATGGAAAAAATTATAAGTGATGAACTTTTCAACTATTTACTCGCTGGAAAATTTATCAATAATGCTCAACATGGATTGCTTAGAAACCGATCTTGCATGACATATCATTTTGACTTCTTTAATTTAGTCTATTCTCTACGTAGCTAATGATATCTAGTCTTAGAGCTATATCTGGACATTTCTAAAGCGTTTGACATGGTTAGCCATCAACTTCTTATAGGTAAACTCGCATCTTATGAGGTTCAAAATCCTTTGCTAGCTTGGTTTGATTCATTTCTCAGCAATCGATATCAAATAGTTCAAATTAACTCTTCATTGTCTAACGCTGTCCATGCTAGAATCGGTGTAATACAAGGTAGTGTCTAAGGCCCTTTGCTCTTTTTAGTGTTTATCAATGACATTTGTGAAAATTTTTATGTAGGTAAGCCCCTTTTATATGCAGATGATCTTAAAGTAGTTTATTCATTTTCTCCACATGAGCTGAAAAATATGCAAAATTGCATCAACTTGGAACTTAACAAGGTAGCACAGTGGTGCTCAAAATGGCAACTGGAACTTAATACGGCTAAAAGTGGATGGATATGTTTCGGCGATACACCACTCAACCTAGACCTTACCATAAATGGAAAAGTGTTATCTGGGTTACACACAGTAGTAGACTTAGGACTTAGATACTCCCAAGACTTGTCGTTTACAGAACAGATATCGAAACAGACCTCTAAGTCTCAACGTCTAGTACGTTACATAACTCGAAACCTTCATAACAATTAGTCACGTATTTTAATTTACAAAGTTTGTGTTCGACCTCTTCTAGAATATTGCACGTTTATTCTTAGTAGTGCGCGCATAAAGGATAAATTAGGGCTGGAATCAGTACAGAGACGATTTACACTTCGTATTCTTGGAGCTGATTGTACCTTAACTTATAATTCTAGATCTAAAAAACTTGGGCTAGACCCATTATGAAAGAGGAGACTCAAACTAAATCTTATCTTTTTCTTCAAACTACTTAATAAACTATCCTTTACATCCAATGACGTGATTCAATATGCAGAAACTTCTCATTATGACATCCGTTATTCCTTGGCACTAGTGAAACAAACTTATTCTAAATCATCTCTTTATATGAATTACTTTGCCTGTAGATTTTCTAGACTCTGGAATAACCTACCACAACATATCCGTACGATAAAATCACTCCCATTATTTGTACGTTGCATCGATGCATATTTCTCCCCTGAAAATGCATTGAATGCTCTAGCACCTGTAAGTGTATCTCATTCCACAAGTGATATTATAGGAACTTTAAATGCTTAGCCATCTTTATTAGTGCATTCCCTAAGTAAAACCACCTACTTGCTGTCACTTTATGTTAACACCGTCCCCAACAAGTTTAACTAATTTGAATAACATCAACAGTATATCACTGTGTCACATGAAATACGCATTTTGATAGATATGATTGACATATTTCGTTAATCACTGCTTTTTTGTTCCGTGCTCTCTGTTTTCATTTTAATTTCTCTAGTTGTAGATAATTATCATTAATTCTATCTGGCACACGAAATGACCTTAACCACTCCGTTCATAAAACAACAGGCTTTCCATCTAAGAAAAATTAAAAGTTCCCGGTTGATGCATTGGATCGCTGTAATACATATACTACCTAAGCAATTACTGACCTAGTATACTTAAAACTTTCTTCTATCACATGTTTGTTCTGTACATATAATTATACTATTTATACCAAATCGATCATGCCTGTAAACTGGAGTGAATTCTGTAATTATTATTTTTCAGAATATAAATCATTATTATTACTATCTGGAACTCATACGACGGAATACAGTGAGAAGTCGTGCATGGAGGACAGCTGACAGATGCATTCCAAGTAAGAACCGGAGTCAGACAAGGCTGTCTAATCTCCCCCTCCTCTTTCTTCTGGTGGTTGATTAGATTACGAAGACCTCAAAATCTGAGGGGAAGCACAGAATACAATGGACAGCTCAGAACCAATTAGACCAGTTGGACTTTGCAGATGATCTAGCTCTCCTATCCCATACACACGAACAAGTGCAGACGAAGACAACTCGTGTAGCAGAGGCCTCTGTACCAATAGGCCTCAACATACACAAAGGGAAAACCAAGGACCCCAAACACAACACGGAGAACAGCAATCCAATCACTCTTGATGGCGAAACTCTGGAAGATGTGGAATCCTTCACATACCTGGGAAGCATCGTCAACAAACAAGGAGGTTCAGATGCAGACGTAAAGGCGAGGATCGGTAAAGCAAGGACAGCATTCCTTCAATTAAAGAACATATGAAACTCAAAACAACTTTCGACTAATATCAAAGTCAGAATCTTCAATACCAACGTCAAGGCAGTTCTACTGTACGGAGCTGAAACTTGGAGAACTACTACAATCATCATCAAGAAGGTAAAAGTATTTATCAATAGCTGTATACGCAAGATACTCAACATCCATTGGCCGGATACCATCAGCAACAGCCTTTTGTGGGAGAGAACCAACCAGCTTCCAGCGGAAGAGGAAATTAGGAAAAGACGATGGAAATGGATAGGACATACATTATGGAAATCATCAAACTGCATCACCAGGCAAGCCCTAACTTGGAGTCCTGAAGGGAAGCGGAAAAGTAGAAAGCCAAAGAACACATTACATTGAGAGATACAAGCGGATATGAAAGGGATGAATAAGAACTGGAAAGAGCTGGAAAGGATTACCCAGGACAGGGTTGGATGGAGAATGCTGGTAAGCGGCCTATGCTCCTTCACGAGGAGTAAAAAGCGTAAGCGAGTAAGTAAGCGATAACATCTCTTTAATTCTGTAAAAACCTTTTTATCATCCATAGTTTTAAGGGTTATTTTACTTTTAACGTTTAAAATATGAAAAACCTTAAGTATGAGGTTTTTCCACCGTTCTGGTGGCTCCCATTTATTTGTGCTTCTGCCGATTGTCGCTTAGTACCACCAGTGAGAATGAGTACGCGAATCTTTCAGTATTTTTTTTTCTCCAGCACGAGGAATGACAAATTTTTAGGGGTGGCTTTGCTGCACACTTTCAGAATTCACTCTTTATTTTATTCTATATAATTAATAATTTTTCTGAAGTTTAAGTCAACAGCTCATTTTTGTTGATGTGCTGTTAAGAGAACATTTCATTGACTTATCTATTAGAAAGTTACACGAAATAGGAGATCTGGATGTGGAACCTACGTAAAAAGTTCCAAGGTTTTTCTTCACTATCCATTTATTGAGCACCTTGTATTTATATTGTGGATACATATGCCCTTGACCCAAAGTGATCATAAACAGTAAATTTTCAAAAGTTATGAAACGACTTTTGAAACTTTTTCAAGAAACTGTCTCACTCATAAAGGAACATTTTTGGTCGGGAAATGCGGTGGCTTTTTCTAAGGAAGTAAGACTACGTTTTTCAGACCTACTCATTGTTAAGGATTTTATGGAGAAGTTAGACCATAATGATAAAGCCGTTGAACTATTCACTGAAATTATGAAGTTTCGCAGTATATTAAAGCCATGTGTGACGAAACTTTACAAATTTTGCAGTTTCACACTACTTCCATCACTCAGAAGCGAGTTTATTTGTAAGTTGATTCGCATGCATGCGTGATACAAGTCACGCATAAAATTACCACATAACGTTCCAGTAAACAGTCATAATTTTTCACAGTTCTTTTTTATGTCTCATTACTTGGAATGGAGACATTTGGAGAAAACGGATTGGGGCATTTTCTTCTCTGCATGAAAGTTCAATATTGTAAAGAAGTAGGTTCAGTAATATACTCACGTGTATTTCTCTAGATTCTTAGATTTTTATGTTCACCTGAAGTTATACGCGAACTGAAATCAGAGTGGATTCATGTTTATGATGAATCGTTTGTAGATACTCTTCTGATTAAACCTCTTGTAAAGTTAGTTTTTATTGTGAAAAATGGAACTATCTAACATCATTTGTTTACTGACTTATTATTTAGATTTTATTCGAGTGGACTGTCAACTAACATCAGCAAGCTGTCTTAAAGTCGGTATTCCAAATAATGATAGAGTATCCACATCTTAAAGGCAGTACATCTGTCAAATCTGTTTGGTCTTTAAACCTCCATTTATTTCCTAATGACATTCTTGTTTATGTGATTGTATTGTTTGTTCACCAACTAACTTGTATCCCTGCCAATCAATTGTGGTCACAGTTCATAACATCTCTTAGTTTGTGTGTGTATTTTCAAAGTATTTACTTATGCTTGTGAAACTTGACGGTTTTTTTTACTGTAATCATATATTACCATTTCTAATGGTTCGTCTTTCTTTTGTGCATCAATTAAGCATCTACTTGGTTGGAATCCTCAGTAAGGATAATCGCTATCATTTTATGTCCACTAAACTTACTTTGAGTTGAATACTCAAAAAGATATAGTTTGGTTAGTAGTTGAATCTAGGACACGCGTTCCGTCTTATTGAAACTCATCGGCTAGATATACGCTTGAATGGATCGAAATCACCTTATGATAACCATAGACGGATTAGTTTAACTAATATTGAGTCTAAAATACTAACTTTAATAACTGCTTGACGCCTAACAAAGGCTTGTGATCTGCACAAATGAGAAAAGCAGATGAGATGATCTTTGTAAGTATTCGACAGGAAACCATGGACATAGGTTTCATGCTATTTGACACTCATCGGCATGATGTGTCTGTAATCTTAAGGGAATTGATTTTTCTTGACGGATTCGATACCGTATCACCCAGCTTCACATTCAGAGATGTTACCACTTAGCTACCCAGACAGAGACTGATTTTCTGTAGGACCGAGATGTATCTACAATTGGTCAATCACTATGTAGTGATCAGTGTGATGTATGTCAGGTCCTTCTTAGTGCAGATGAAATTATATCGACCAGGTTGCAGCGTGGTCACTAGTCTAGGTGACTCGACGTTTCATGCACTATGTTGAGATGAGATGGTGGTCGGAGGTAGTCAACAGGAAACTAAGGACCTAGGTTTCGTTCAACTTGGTCGGATTCGTTCTGAATTACGAAGGACCTGACACACATGGCATTGATCACTATCTAGTGATCAATCACCTTTAAACAAAAAAACAAGGCTGGCTTCAGACCTCGTCGTGGCTGCATCGACCACTTATCCATCATTCGTCAGGTTTTAGAACACAGACGTGCTTATCGGCGCCCGACAATGATGGTTTGTCTTGGCTTGAAAGCAGCATTTGAATTGGTAAATTGAGAGGTTTCGTGACAGTGTCTGCCATTGAAAGGCGTACTTCAGAAGTACATAAATCTTGTGAGGTCCCTTTACTCGAACACTACCAGTCGGATGAGAGCTTATGGAAAACTGTCATTTGATCTTGCAACGTTGAGTAGTGTCCTGCAAGGTTGTTCATTACCTCCATTTTTGTTCAATTTCGTCATAGACCTACTGCTAGAAATAATTTTCTGGTCGACTGAATTTTCAGAAATTGATCTCCTACTAGGACGTCCACTTTCTGACCTAGAATACGCAGATGACATAGTCCTGTTTGGTGAAGACGTTGATAAAATGCAGGGTCTTTTAGTAGCACTGAGCAACAATGCCAGGATGTTTGTAATGCGTTTCTTCTCCTCTAAATGCAAGTTGTTGCTTCAGGACTGGCCTGTGTCAACACCTGAATTAAGGATAGGGAGTGAAGTGGTCGAACGCATTGACAACTTCACTTATCTTGGAAGTCTGATCAGCTCTAATCGGTTGGTGTCTGACTAAATCTCAGCACGGATTCAGAAAGCCCGTTTGGTTTTTACCAATTTACGTCACTTATGGCAAAGATGAAATATCTGTCTATCAATTAAAGGACGAGCATACTGTGTGGCACTCCGTTCTGTTGTAGTTTACGGCTGCGAAATGCGGACATCGAGCGTAGAAGGTACTCGTAAGCTACAAGTATTTGACCACAGATGTCTTCGAAATATCGCTGCGATAACTGGGTAAGTAATAGTGAGATTAGACGTAAGGTATTAGGGAATGACGGTAAATCAGTTGATGAGGTTGTAAATCTTCATCAACTGAGACGGTTGGGCCACCTGTTGCGTATGCGTGAACACCTATTACCACGACGCTCAGTGCTGACTAGTGTTGGAGACGTCTGGGAGAAAGTTCGGGGCGGCCAAACCAAAACGTGGCATCAGTGTTTGAAGTCATTAACTTCTAGTCTGAGCCATGCTAATAGATGCAGACTGCTTGGTTGGGATCCGCATGACTATCGTATCCAGTGGTTGGATATTCTGTGTCACATATCTCAGAATCGATTACAATGGCGTAGGTGTATACATTCTCTGTCTTCCTTTAAACTATGAGATCAAAATTACTTCATAGTTTTCTTTATACGAATTAATCCTTTCTCTCTGTATCATATCCTTATATGAAATGTTTTTTTTACTACCACTGAAGTAACTGTTTCTATGAATTCGATGTTCTTGTTGTGGGAATAAAGCAAGGCAATGTTGATCGATGCACATATGTGCCTGGTCTTACGTTGTAGATGACTGACTGACTTATACTCATTCTGGGATTTGAACACACTATCTCCTGTGTCCAACGTTCAACGGGTTTTTTACTTAGGTGCTGCATTTATATAGTTAATATATTGTGAAATAGGCATGGATCCCATTTCAATTTGTAATGGGTTGAATTGCCCTAGAGTAGTGACTAGTTTTGATTTCCTAACTTTAGAATAATAGATCTAATGGTAAAAAGGTTCTATAATTCTTACCAGAAACCCCCCAAAATAGCTTTATGCGCAAATTACCTTACTCTAAATAAGTTTAGTATTTCATTGATGATAAAAAATATACGTTTATTTTTCATCATTTCTAGATGGAAGCCTGCATTTATAGCCTTTCAAAAGTCTCTGGAATCAGAACAAAGTACACCCGATCATAAGAAAATCACAAGTAACTAACATATAAATACAGAATAAGTCAATATAATTGTATTTAATAGAAGTTCAACCATTCAGGCTAACGCAACCAAAACCCCGACCTATTCTTATGCCAGATATTGTAGTTTATCATAATTTACATATAGGTCACTCATGCAAATGCCTTTTTAGATTCCAAAAATGCAAAGAATGCGCGACCCTCCATTGACTACTTATAATCAACCACCGGAAATTTCTTTATTACTCATGGAAAAAAACAAGAATCGTCAGCAGGTATGTCCTTATGCCCTACACCTACTTGAATGTCTCTCGGTAAAAATGCTTTTTTAAATTAAAATAAGACCTGAAGGCCATCGTAAGTTCGCGTTTTAAGCAACTTGTATTTAGAAGTTGTCCCATACTTATATATTTTTATTACTGGAATGTAAACATTATACAGATTTTAGATATTCTAGCCTTATTTTGAAGTCAGTCGTAAAACTTTTCATCCCTTAGGAATATCCAGGTCACTAATATACAGTTATCTACATACAGAGGAATGCGGGTAGACTTAGTCTAATATAGGTGGCCAAAAGATTTGATCTTTTTATATTGATAACCTTCAGTTGGTGAGGTCGTGTTTTAACTTTACCATGTAGAGCTTTTTAAATATGTGGTAATGGGGTCTTTTTACAAGGTTTAAGTTACTGTTGTTTGGTTTGTTTGCGACTATGTTTTATTTATCCATTAGTCAAACTGTAACACAATGTGAAGTTCAAAATTCAAATGATAAAATGATAGTGAGAATGATGTTTAACTTATACTACTTACAAATGTGTGAGTAATCTACATAAGGATATATGCAAACTAGCGAAACAATGTCACTTTCAATCTTTGTTTGATTTTACATGTTGTTTAAAGACTTTAACATGTTATTTTCAGCAGGCAAGGGACTAAAGAAAAGCAATGCTACCAGTTTACCTACCTAAATTAGATAAGTGTTTGTAGGTGTCAACAATTTGAAGAGGATAGCATAAATCTTTCTCATTATTCATATTCTGATTTGAAGTGTGATTTTTTAAGAAATAATAAGTTAGGGAAACTTTGATTCAGTTTATCTTTATTATCACTATTTTTAGTATTTTCTCTCAATTATTTCTAATCATGATCCTGATTTTTACATGACTGAGGTAGGCATGTTCCGATAATCAAATTTTTACCAAACGATATTGTATAGGTGATGTGGTTTAGGCTGGGTTATTTTTTCTGATATGAATGTTCAACTTAGAGGCTTTAAATAATTTTTATGGAAAACATCACTGGAGTTTACTCTTCACGTAGGTAGAATATTTATTCATTCCATGAACGCTAAGTGAGACTGTTCTGATGATCTTTTAGGTGGGTTTTGTTCGTCCTTATATTCCTGTTAAGCTCTTTATTATATTTTCCTCTGGCTACTTAGTCAGTTTGAATTTTTCATATACGCTTGTAAATAGGGTTTGTACTTATATGTCTACTAATTTGAAATTGACCTGAATGTTACGTTTTCAGAAATTCTCTACAGTTCTTTGAATTCCCTCGATTTAGAATTTTGATTTTTATCCGATCGGCTATTTATATGTGGTTGTTGCATTGATATAGTTGATATTAAGTAATTTTATTTACTGATAGTTTGTGTTCATTTACGGGCGAACGAAGGGAATGTCCATTTTGTCCAATATATTGTTTGCCTTAGTTGGTGTAATTTATTTTATAGATATAACTGATGTTGTCTTCCTTTTCTGTTGTATCTTTTAGCCTTCATGATGTAGAACAGGATATGTTAATTAAACACTAGCTCATCAGACAACATAGTATGAAATCTTTTTTGAAAGTTCCAGAAAAATATAAATGACGATTTATTGTAATAACAAAAATAATAAAAAACACTGTAAGAGGAAGTGCATTAAGGAAATACATTTTTTGATTTGACATTTAAAACATGAAAATATTAATTGAAATTTTCAATTTCTGGCATACCGTAGAATAAAGTCTAAAAGTTCTACATTTTGTAATGATTATTTGTTTATTATTTTTGAATAGGATACGTAAACTATACCTGTTTTTTTTACTATAATTAGGTACATCTTGACATCTTCATGTATTCGATATACAGATATATTCAACGGTTACTGAATTTTAATAATATTTCAACTTTCGATAATGATGAAGATTATCAGAACTATGTGATATATTTGCTCAATAAAACATTAATAGAAAATGGCTATCCTCTGAAATTCATAGATAGATGGAAAGTCCATGGTACAGTGAGACCTACTGTAGCCTTGGTAGAAAAAATGCCTGTCTACATCACCTTAGCATTCAGAGGTTATTCAAACAGCCTTTTATTGAAACAAATACTTAAATCAGTCATCAATAAAACGTATTGCGCAGCAATGGTCATTATCAAAGAAAGAACAAGGTTCATGCTTCATCCAAAACCTAAAAGACATGAAAACGATTGTGTTTGTTCTTACCTTAGACCTACCCTGGTAATATTGACTTATTATCCTGAGTGATTTGGTTTCGAATTGTATTCACATTATTATTGTTATCTTCGTCTCCTCTTATCCCCATTTCTAGTCTAGTTGACCTTTTATTTCTATATATAAATGTTCTCAACAAGTATATTACGTGTGATCAGGTTGTTCGAAATGTATTGCGCTAATATATCACATAATTCGGATAATCTTCGTCTTCTTATTACATTATTGAAATTTATCAAAGGGACTAATTGCTTTAAATATTCCAACTGTTTATGATAATTTCATAAATTTGTTCTTTGAACGTTTTATGAATCCTTACTGAAACGTTTTATTGTAATCAATATCATTTTTCTACAATTTTTGTTGTTTTTGTTGTTGTTGGGAGATTGAAAAGTTAAAAATTCAAAGTGATAGACTTAAACCAAAATGCGCAGAAATTATTTATGGCGATTCGAAAACAACGAATAATCAAAATGAATATAATTTTAAAAATGATTCTACAAACAACATAGAAGATACTAGCAATAATAAAAGTGTGGTAAATTCTTCAGTCAAATTGGAAAGTCAAAGAATTAGCTCAAATAAAAGAAATTATTTATCTGTTTTAAACAAAACCGCGGTGGTTAATACAAATGCTGTTAGTATATTACGTGAATGGAAATTGTATTCAGATAGAGAAAGGGAACAAAGACAAAAGTGAGATTTATTTAATTTTCGTATATGAACAGAGTTATTTGAAATAGTCAGTAGTATGATAAGCTTTGCGCAAATCGGTTTTGTTTGATAAAGATTTTATCGTTGTAAGTAAGTCAAAGTAGCCTGTTAACTAAACTGACAATCAGAAAAATAAGGTATATATGCTTTAGTTTACATTTACACCTGTATTATTCGTCACGTTAACCATATACTTTAGTGCTTGACTTTTTCACCTAAGAATAATCAGTTGGGAAAGGTAGTAACATAAAGAAGTTAATTATTTTTAGGTAACTAATGCCATTTTGAGCACTTTAGGCCACCCGAGAACTTTAAAATCAAGATTTAAAGTGTGATAGGTATATTCTGAATAGCAGTTCCATAGACATCAGTAACGGCCGTCCGGAAGCTCATTACATATTTTTCTGAATATTTTTATTCAGTTTCAAGTCAGTTTTCACCATCTTTATGTTCTAAAAAAGTAGCATAATATCATACAAGGTAGTTATGGTAAAAACGTTAAGTCAGTAAGTTTTACATCTCTGGCAGCTGTCAACTTAAATAACTTTGATTTTGTAATTTTTCGAGCTCCATTCTCTAAATTGAAATGCATATGATTTTCTTACTTATAAGACTGTTTACACCGCAGATATTCATGGATTTTAGATAAAATATTGGTCACGGAGAAATTTTGATAGGACTTCCCGATGAGACAATAATTTATGGACGATCCAATCAGAAGCGTTTGGGCGATTTCAAAGTCACGGCGCGAATTTCGGTACCCGATGCTCATGTACGATCGATTTACAGTGGATTTTAGAGAAGACATCATAATTGAGCGGCTAAAATAAATGGGACTAGCAAGAAGTTCCTTTATTTGTGACTGCAGTAATCAAACGACTGCTGTACCGTGCTCAGACTACCGTGATGAGATTGCCTTTCGATGTTATTTATGTTGGAGGAAGAAGTCTGCTATAACAGGAACGTTTTTCGCTCGATCCAGATTGAGACTAAGAGAAATCATGATAATTGTTGCTAATTGGATTGTAAAAGCACTAGTCACACTAGTTGCAGCCTTTGTAGATGTTACCAAAGCTTCAGCAGTACAATGTACGAGTATTGTCGAGATATATGTGCAATAAAAATGACAGGCTTACACGAATCGTTCGGGGTAGTCGGGAGAATCGTTGAAATAGATGAAACAACCCTCACACAAATCAAATGATTTTTGTGGCGGATATCTATTTGATGCCTCCTTGTACCAATCTTTACGGTTGGAAACCGACAGGCAACGACGATAATACCATTTATACGGGGATATGTGCAGCCAGGCACTTCAGTATATACAGATGATTGGAGGGCGTATAGATGCCCACATAGATTTGGTTATGTGCATCATGTCGTTATCCACAAGCTTCATTTTGTGGAATCTACAACTGGAGGTTACACTAACAATATTGAAGCTATGTGGTCGAGGCTGAAAGTGTGCTTACGACTTTATCATGACTCGAGAGGCCGACTAATATGGGACCGTATTGATAAGGTTCTCTACCTTATGCATTACGATTTTAGAATCTCTGAACCTCTTTTTAACCTTGACAAGTTTTTGAACCATGTATAATATATTTTTATTGTATTCTAACTGTTCTCTGATTGGCTAACACTTCTCAAGGTCACTTGAGATTCGTTCAAAGGTCGTCCATAAATTATAGTCTTGCCGTTGTTACATTGTTCAGTTAAAAACAGACAATGTTGAAAATTATACTTTGCCTGAATAGTCCTATCAAGAACAAGTAAACAAGACAAACTTATTTTTTGAAAAAAATTTTCTATAGGCTTTGTGAATTAGAATCTGGAGCGTTTACAAATGCTGCTTATAATTCTTGGAAACAAGAAGAAGAGATGAAAATTAAATTAAATCAATTGAAACAAATGGAACGTAATCGTTTACATGTAATGATAAGTCATGAAGCATCATCAACAGCTAAGTTTGATCTTTGCTGTAAACGAAAAATTGCAGCTAATAAACTTAGAAATGAAAAGCGTGCCAAACTGTTAGAATTTTTAAATGAAAAGAAATTGCAACAGGATAAAATGAATAAAGTAGCCAAAGAAGTTGCTAGTTCACATGAAAATGCAAAAATTGCAAAGAAGAAGTTGATGGAAGAAAAGAAAAAATCAGGTTTATTCATATTATATATTTCTAATTACTTTGTGTTTTATCTTAGAAAAGTGTCTGATGCACATTATTGCCCAATGCTGTGTTAATTTACATTAGTTAGTGATGGAAAGCATCTTCGAATTGTACGAAGATTCTGTGAAGTTATCCCACTTAATAAATAAATGATAATGTGAATAAAGCAATTAGATTTTTGTGAGATCCAAATGAGTAGAAACTATTAGGTTCAACCTTAGTATTGATATCTACAAATGAGTAGTAGTTTATGATGTTTTGAAAATGTTACTGTCAGGTTGATTTCGTGATGAAAATGGAAACTTTTGTTAGAGAAACCAGTGGTTTAAATTAATAACATTCTTTTTTAGCTGATGTCTTATATGTTAACGTCTTGTCAACCTTCTTAAATTAATTGGAAGGATTCTAAAATCTCAAAATGATCTTTCTTTCAGACTAAATTTGATTTTACAAAGGTTTAACAAATGATGAAACTGTCGTCTTTGTTTTACTTACTTTTGGATATGTTTGAGCACTATTATATTTTATGACAATGATAATTATTGGGATTTAAGTTTTTAACATGTTTAAAATGTTTGGTTTTTTTCGTCATACCCGTTTGATCGATAGTACCTAATTCTATAAATGTTCAACCTCACGGACCACAACTATCACTAAAGATTTTCTAGGATTAAAATTATTCAATATCTTTCAGATTATATGCTCTCACACATCAATTAATTTTGTGTAAATTAATCAACCTTGCTAATATGATTCTACAGATTGATTTCACTGGTCTAAAATTTTTACTAGTATTCTGTCTGGAGTTCCATATAAACGAAACCATTTTACATCATAAGGTTTGTATTATTTCTAAAAGTAATTTTGAATGAATTAATTTTTAGCTAGTGAAATACTTAAGGAAAGTAAACAACTCTTAGACGAAGCTGCAATAAAAGCCGAAGAGGAGAAGAAAATGAAAAAAGAATTGATAAGTCAGATTCAAGCGGAAGAATTATCGGCCATAATGACGAAATCACGAAATGTAAAACAAGTGAGCTTAATATAGATGGATCTAAAGTATTACGTGATATTGTTTATACCTTTTAGGATACTAGCATTAGTCCTCTTAAATAACCTGACCGATCTGTACCATTAGCTGTAACTAGACTATAACAGTTTTGTTTCAATAAGGTTTTTATATAGAACCTTAAAGTGAGTTTCAAAACATTTGATAAAATCATTGTTACGATTCTCTTCAACTTATCAAAAAGATTCACCTTGGAATACGGAGGTGAATGTTGAATTGATTTATGAAAGTCTGATTGAAAGAAACCTAGAACAGATGGAAGTTGGAAGTTTCCCTTAATTTTTTTTGACTGAAAATTCGATGGAAAAAATCGAAGCGAGATACACTTTTCATTGTTGGAATAGCTCTCTAATTCCATATGCTAAATAACAAAATAAAGTCCAGAACGTTCTGCGAACAGTTTTCATTATTCATAACACTGGGTAAGCTTTATGAAGGTAGGAACCAGTTTATACTGTATTCATGATTATCAGAAGTCGTAGAGATAAAGCTATGGAAAAGTCAGTAGGAAATATTTTTTGTCATTTTTATCATCTGTCGATATTAGTTATGTCCATAACATCAAGTTAGGTTCCTAAAATATGCTTTCACTCTTGTTTAATGAAAATACTAGATAGTTTTTTATCTGAATTAAAAGAAACACTAGGTTGTAAATAAGAGTGGTATAACATTATCTCACATACCTTTCTATTCACACTAATATTCTTTTAATATTTGAGTTTATCTATCATTTACTGATAGAGTTCTACTGTTTGCAAATTTGATTGGTTCAGGTTATTCTACTTTTGATTTATTTCAGTAGTGTGATAAGAAATTTGGATATTTTTTAATTTATTTGAACATTTCTAATTTAAACTTAATAAACGATTATAGTGATGGCGATGATAATAATAATAAATACATAGTACTAGGTATCGAATAAAAATCATGTGTATGAGGATGGATTTCGGACGAGTAATATTGGCCGTATAATTATTAGTAGAAACATTATAGAGGAGAATAATTTACCTAACTGAAAGAGAAGAGGTATGAATCAAGCCGATTTCTTGTGGTAGACTGGATGGATTAACACCGAAAAGTGATAAATATATATAGTAGACAAGTGAATAGCTGAATATTTAAGTGAAGTATTAGTTCACTGATGATAAATCGTGTCATTAATAACAATTAGATATTACAGGGTAGTAAAACTTGAAAGAAATGTAGAATAAATATCTAGTCGTAACATGAAAATAATGGCAAGAAGGTGATCTTAATATTTATGGCTTGAAGTCAAATATCTGAACTTCCTGGTACATACTTTCATACATAAGATGTCATCTAATCTACTAAAATCCCCCATTTATTCCTCATATAATGGTAACAGCATAAACAACTATTGTTGATGAATGCACTACACGCAAAATAAAATTAACAAGTATTCACATTTTGCCAGCACCTGAAAACAAAAGTAAAACAGGATAAAATCGTTTCAAATGATGATTATTTGTTACATGTATAAATTTCTAAAGTTTACTTGCAGTATCTACTTATAATAATTTTTATTCGTTGTGTTATGGCCTATAATCTGACTCCAGTAATATCGTATGATTGACTGTTATCGAAATATATATTTCGCCTATCCTCGTATAAAATCATCGACTTAAATCACGTTAGTGAATAACAGAATTAAATAAGTCAAATACGAGAATAGATTTTTCAATGCGTATATTTTATACGCCAACTCCATTTAACCAAGCATAAAAAACAGTCATGGTTGATAAGTGAATAATGAATAAGGTCAAAGTATGATTCAAGAAGAATGGATAAATTGGCCTATCTATAAGTTAGATTAAGTTATATGAGCTCAACATAATAACTGATACTACAGTGTACTTTAATTTCCTTAGAAGGAAAATATCATCATAGAAACATTTAAATAATGTTTTTATTGATGCTAATTATAATTTCATTAAATATTTAGCCTGATTAAGAAAAAAATCATCAAATGATAAAGTATATACAATGAAGAATTTCTATAGAACACCACAATTGTATTTCTATAAATCATGTATGTTTATTGTCTAAAACTAAGACTATTTTTATGGTATAAATTCAATTAATCCAGGCATATAAAACAAAATCATCATTGTAATTCTTCAGTATTAACATATTAACATTAACTCTTAGGAAACATTCTTTTGTAAGTGTTTTTCTTTCTTTCGAAATCTTATTGAGAAAATAAATGTTAACATGAATGTAATATATACGTAAGTTAAACACAATAAAAGTCAATTATAGTTTAGTATTAAACTATATCATGCTATAAAGTTTCACTTAAATGAGTTTGACAGTATGATAAAAACAACATATTTTTATATGATATGAATTATAATAGAATTAAAATATTCTACATGAGTCAGAAGGATGATGCAATTCAGGTATATGGAAGTGATTTTTATACTAAGAAATATGATGTACTTTTAATGTTTATATTTATCATAATTGACTTTTATTTAAAAAAAGGTACTCTATGGTTCACTTATTTACTAGTTATTTCGTGAAAGATGTATTCATTTTGAATGTAACTGAATATATTTATTCTATTGGACATTATTAATGCGCACTTGGTGTTGTTTCACTTGTATCTTCCCATTGATGTTTAGGATTGTAATTTATTAGTCTTTTATTGGCATATGTACATCTTGTGCGAACTGCCTCGATATTGCCTTAAATCACAAGCTTTATCAGCAAAGATGGATAGTGGCTAGCAGTGGAATCCAGGACGCCCGTTTCGTCCTATTTGGGATTCATCGGTTGTGTGTACCTGCACCTCAGAGTTGACGCTCACTCTGGGACTCGAATCCAGTACCGTTCGCTTCAAACGAATCCCAAATACAACGAAACGCATATCCTGGATTCCACTGATGGCCACTATCCATCTTTGCATAAAACGCTTGTGAATTAAAGCAATATAGAAGCAATACGCACAGTATGCACATATGCCAATAAAAGACTAATCAAATGCAGTCCTAAACATCAATCAGAAGATTCAAACAAACAATACCAAGTAAATTTAATTCATTAAAACTTTGAGAAACGTTTAAACTGATGTTATCAATCATAATTTAAATTATGATTAATTAATTTGCTGTTTCAAAATAGAATTGGTTCCAGTCTCATTGATTATCAGTTTTTTTAAATCAAAAAATTATTATTTAATAATTTATGTTTTAGATTGATTTAACCAATACACCCGGACATGGTTTACTAAATGAAATGTCTATAATTGAGTTAAGGGAACGCCTTAATCAATTGAAAATTAATAAACAACGTGAATTGGAAGAGAAAAGAGATGCAATAATAAATGATAAAGAACAAAAAACAAAAGTTTTATTAGAGTTACTTACTCGAATTGGCAAACACAGAAGTGTAAAAACTGTAGCTGCAACGAGAAAAATGGTAAATAATGGGGAGTAAGTTGAAAAATTCTCCATTATTTTAATTTTTTTATACATGAAAACAACTGAATGTTGTCAACAAATTTTCTCTATAAATGGAGTTCTAATGTTTCACATCGGTTTACTTGACTAATTTTGACTGAAAAGCCACTAGATATCGAAGTGGATTCAAGACAACTTTTCATTTAGGATTACTTGGTAGCGAATACTCATGATACTGAACAGAATATTCATGTTTAATATTGAGTACAATAATTTGGTTCAAATAGTTAGAATTAAGCAGGTCTACTCTTTCAAACCGATTCCATCCTCATTCTATTCCATTGATGAGTAACCGCCTTAATTTTGACATGCATAATTTCACAGACGTGATATATGATGATAGAGTTGTTAAGTCCTCCTTGGTTTACAGTATTTCTTCAGCCGACGTCAGCTAGTTTTATAATAAATATTCAAACGCACCATTGGTTTTAACATTAGATCAAGTGTATCATTTCCTCTTGATGAAATAAATAGACTTTAAACTATTTTCAGCTTATTTTTTGCTGCATACATGTGCTTTTTTAAAACACATCTTGGATAGCCGATCATTGTCAGAACAGTATTGATGGAAATCCTCTGTCCGAAAAGTTTCTTAAAAAAGTACATGTATACGGGGTGAAATAAGATGGAGATGTTCACTACCTGTAATAATCCTCTATTCTTAAAAAAATATATGACTCCAAAATATTATCCAACCATCTCAGTTAATTACGAAATGATTACATAATATAGTGATTTATGAAACTGGTAACTTGTTGATTACTAAATAGTTTTATTAGATATAACCTTTAATACGAGATCTTGAGTCTTTATATACATCATTTTCTACCTATTTTTACTAGATGATAAAGGTAATAATAAAAGAATGTAAATGTATGTGGCATCCACCATTGAACTTCTATATGCTTAACGTTAACAAATAAAATGAAGAGGGCTGACTGTGAAGTGTTTTTTGATATGTAGATAAGACTCAGCTTTCAAACCATCAATATCCAAGTTTAAGAATAATATCGGTATGGGGATTTGTGGAGAATTTTATAATGATTTGAAGAAGACTAAGTTTTACACTTTTTTTTGTGAAATATCTTATTATAAATATATAATGAGTGGAAGTGTAGATCATGAAACATATTCAAGAGTTTGTATTTCATTTCAGTGATTGGAAAGAATTTCGTGTATAGTATTGTGAGTAGAAAGTATACATTTAGGCAAACAATAAATATTTATCTTATGTTGTGACACATGATTATTCGGCGAGACTATAATTAATGGACGAACCAATCAGTTATAAGATAACAGGTTTCAGATTTTGGCGCAAAATTCACCCATCCATTTAGCTAAATAGAGTTTTGGCATTATAGATGAAGTCAGTTAGTGATGAACACTCTAAATCTAATTCCTAACTCTAATCATCAACTGTAAATTATAATTCTAATTCCTCACATTGGTTTATAACCCTCATTCGGTCCTAGTTATTAGGTGAACACTCTCAAGGTCACTCAAAGATCGTCCATAACTTATAGTCTCACTGATTATTTTTATATTCTTTACATGTATGTGTATACATTTAAACGTAACAAGCTGTAATAATTATACAGAACATCACATTATTATTATTATTGTTATCAACGTCAATACTATTCATTAAATTTTATTTACTTGTAACACTTTAAAATAATTTAATAAAGTAATTTTAATTGTATTTTGTTATTCTTGATGGGAACTTGTCATATTATTTATTTCAATAAATAAATAGTAATTCGCTTAAATTAACTCGACAATTTAAATGTGTGTGAATAAATTGTATTTTTCAAAATGAAAACAAAAAAAGCACAACAAACAATGTGAAAATCATATGGATAAATTGATCAAATCTAAAACAATCACGTAGTTAAATCCATATATTGACGTTTAACTTAGCAACTATATATATATATATATATATATATATATATATATATATAACGCTTTAAATTTATAATAAAAAATATTGTAAAGTATTTTAGGATATGTAAAGCAATTTGAAAAAGTCATTGTATAGTGAATGAGAAAACAAAATATAAAGAATCTCTTAGTAAAATCTGAGAACCATACAGTAGTTAATTCATTTGTAAAATGTCAACCAATCGTCTCAGACTTCACTGTTCCTTTGTTTTAACAGCAATCATTCGCTGTTCTCATTCTCTGACCTTCGATCTTCTTAACCTTCTGCCACTAGGCATTTCATTTTCGATTGATGGTACATACTACTTATATCTGTCAAAATCAACACAAGTGGAAATCACACTTACATTGTTACAATCTTTTTCAGTTTTTTATCATTTATTTATCTATTTATTTATTTAAACACATAAACATTGGCACAAGGAGGTGCCAAATAGATAAGCGCCACATAAATCATTCGATTTGTGTGAAGCTTGGGATACTGCTTGGGTGCGCAGATCGAGATAGATGGATTTTTTAAGGAGCCACACCTCGAGTCTTTGACCTAGAGGTATAATCCACAAGGCAGTAGGGCAACGTCAGAAGATGCAGTCCCATGGTAGCCGGTGACCAGCGATAGGTTCATAAGTCATTCGCTTTCTTAGGATCCTCGAGCTCGTTTTCACCGCTGGTTTGGAATCAGAGTTTTCCAACTCCCCTAGGTGGATCCTCCATATCCACCAACCCGGTTAAAGCGTCTGACATTCGCTTTTCGTTCTCTCAATTTCGTAAACAACAGCGGTGCCGCGAGAAGGCAGTGAGTAGAACTTGTCTGGCAGTAGATGTATGAATGTGTCCATATGAGTGCATTTTGAGAAGGAGAGATGACTCTCCCCACTCTCGGTAGCACCATGGCCTTTAGGGGCTTTTTCTATCCAATTGATCGTATTACTATACCTACCTCAAAGAAAGCTTTGTACAATAAAGCAGATAGAAATAGGATAACCTCAGCTTGTGAAATTGTGTGTAAGAAGAAGGAATAATAATAAAAACTATCTTTGTTTAAATAATCATAGTTTGTGTCAACAACAATAATGCTTAGAGAGCCAATCTACAGGGGAAGATTCACTTAATGAACCATAACTCAATCTAAGATGTATAAGTCTAATCCAAAAAGTGGTTTTTGCAATTTCATATGATCCTATATGGTGGTAGCTGATGAATCATGATTTCGACAATCCTCCTGAAAATTGAAGGCATTTATACTATTTTAATAACACTAAACTTAAACTACTCAATTACAAAATGAGATGATAATTCGAAGAAGTAGGCAAAATTTGTTCATTGGAAAAAATTTTAATTTACGAAAGGAAACTGTTGAAGACAATAACAATCAATAACTAGAGTTATTCTAGAGTCAAATTTCATGTTTAAAAATGTGGAAAAATCAATCAATCGAAAAGATATTCTCATTTGTATAATACTTATTAGAAAAACTTTCTTGTCCAATAATTGTCTCTTGAATCACAATATCATGAATAAGATAGAAAGCTAAATAGTAATAATAAATTAGGAGTGTTATTTAAAAAAATTAAGTTGGCTCCAAATCCAAATTTCTAAGTGTTACTTAAAAGGAATTTCTACTCACCAAAATTAATATTATTAGTTCTATTCAATATTATATTTTTGGTACAATATAGAATTCTCAGCAGAAATTATTTTAACAAGTTTCCGTTTCTTGCTTCTTGATCGATCCTGACGATAAATAATGAGTGATCGTCAGTTAGATGTTAACAGTCCAGTAAATCGACATCTAAATAATGTACATTTTTTTCGTTGCATATTACCAGCAACCGCGTTATCTCGGACTGGACTTTTTTAAACTTGTATAACGAAAGACTGTAAACTTTTCAGAAATGCACCTGAATAAGTTATGCGTTTAATAGCCGTAATGATGTATTAAAACAAACGAAATTAGATAACTTATTGAAATATCTAGATGGTATGAACAGGTAACCCAGATGTTCACGCAGGTCGCCATTGCTACTTCGTTCCATGTAATAAAAATAAATCGTGAAATTCAGATGGTATAGTTTATGATAATTAAATAAATTTTAATAATGTTTCAGTTGGCTTTTTGAATGAAGTGATAAACGTATTTTAAAATCAGTCAGATAATTATAACTCATTTTTAATTAAAAGAATAAATTCTCATGTTGATAACCAATCAGGCAACAATAACTTTATGTTTGCATCATCAACAATAATTATCATCAAATCTATTCACTTTACATCCATCAAGTATTTAATGTTTGGATTGATGGCCTGCTCTAATATCTCGGCTGCCTGTTCATTCCATCTAGATATTTTAACACATTATCATGTCTACTTATCGCACGACCTATTCAGGCGTGTTTATGAAAAGTTTACGATATTTCGTCGCAAAAAGTTACAGGAAAAGTACAATCATAGACATCGTGGTAGTTGAAAATATGCATTGAAAACGATGAACATTATTCAAATGTCGATTTCTGAACCGTTAACACCGAACTGATGATTACTTAATATTTATCGTTAGGATTGATCAAGAATTAAGAAACGGGAACTTGTTGAATTACTTTATGCTGAGAATTCTATATTATATCAAAAATATAATATTAAATAAAGCCATTAATAATAATAATAATTTTGGACTGACAATCTCATGTGTCACTCGATAATTTTGAGCAATAAAAATGAGTTTTTTTATGGTGTTTTAAAAAACATTCTAGATCGGTTAAGACCGGTTTAAAACATAAATATTTATAATCAGTCATCATTTATGTTTTTTTAATCTATTTCATAATAAACAGAAACCAATGAATCTAATCATGATTAATCAATTTGTTAAATAAAATTTCAAGTAAACTCTTCATAAGTTTACTTGCTAAAACGTTTAGTGACATATGTAAACCAGTATAGTGTTAGATATACGTGGTGATATGTTTTAGCTACTATTTACATACATTATTCAAAACCTATTGTAAAACACCTGATGTTTTTATATATTTAAGAAAACAAATTCCATGACTACTAACACATATATTCGTATCATGTAAATTACATAACAACATAAATTAATTAGGTAAAATTTACTTTAAAACAATATCCTAAAGATGCTATTAGATTACTGCAGGTTATTCCCTTCAATATTGAATTTTCGACACCGTTAAATCTATGATGTGAGTAGATACATTTCTGCCTTAAAAATCAGATATTCTTATATAACATTCAAATTTCAGTAACATTGTTTACTTGTTATGCTTAAATATATAAAGATTACGTTTTTGTTAATTGCCACTGTGATACCGTTTGGTCAATCGACGTAATTTTTTAAAAACTAAATTCGAATTGTTTGAATTACCATTTACATTTTTCCAAACCTCTACACCAATTAAAATGGTTTAAATTGTGCTACACATTTTGTCGTGTTCTTGAGGTTCTGTGCCAATATATCTTATAAAATAACTGAATTTGGGTCTTAGTCGTGTTATGCAATTCAAGTCAATGAACTAGAATTCTCGAAATGTTATGATCTTATATGTCGTTCATTCCAGTTAAATCCTTTACTACCCACCTCTGTTATTTCTTTTGATAACTTGAATCACAAACTCTTACATTTTTTGTTCAAGTGATTACGTGCAGTAGTAAAATATGATGTGTATGATCAATATACTACTTAAAAATGGTTTCAATTTTTCATTTCTTATTAAAAGAATACTATAAGTTCTGTTAGACATTTTGATGATATAGTTCCGTATATAAATGAAATCCATGAATAACCTTTGTGTCACTATGCCCTACTAATTATTTGTGTTTATGATTTGAAATAAAACCATCTCTAGAAGTTTAAAAAAATTCAACATGAATGAGTAAAACGTCAACCGTTTAAAGACCATTTAATAATCTCTATGTATTTTGTCATAAAATTGGATACAATTAAGTGATTTTTTCAAGTGTAGAGTATTTTCACATGAAAGATTACTGTTAATTTTGTCTCACTTAAGACTATCAGTTAAATCTAAGTTGTGCAGTTAACATCGTTTTTGAATAAGTATTTAAATGAATCTGATTATCAAAGAGTGAACAAATCAATAGGCTTTGATAATTTTGTAACAATGACTAAGAAATACTTTTAGAAAGTATGATTAGGTCTAAATGACAAAAGTTTATTTTGTACTACGTGTTTTGATATACTGGGTGATAACTAAATTAATTGTGTACTCAGTACTGAAAAGACACTGATCAACTGTAGTCTTAAACACCAATGGGAAGATTCAAGTAAACAATTTAAACTTTGTTTTATTACACAAGCAAGTGGCTATCAGAACTCAGTAGCTAAGTGAATAACGCGATAGCATTTGAAGCGAACGATACTGGGTTCGAGTTCTAGAGTGAACATGAACTCTGAGATGCAGGTACATCCAGATGACGAGTCCCAAATAAGACAAAACGCGCGTTTTGGATTTCATTGCTAGCCATTATACATCTTTGCTTATAAGAATGAAAATTGTCAAAATACGCTATTTATTGTTTAATTTCTTAATACTTTCTCTGTTCACAATTTTTAACAAATACATATGCTCTACATTACGTGATATATCATATATTACAGGGATA